TCTATGATGAAGGGTAGCTTCAGGTAGGCCTGCATGCTCCCTACTCGTTGATTTCCTGTGCCATAGGAATAGTCCATTACCTGGAGAGTCTACCTCAAAAATGCATTTCATCATTTTTCTGAACATACACATCTCAAACATTTCCCATTTCCTCTTCGTTACAATGAATCTTGGGTCCAAGAGTTAATACCTTTTTCCCCCTGAAGATGGTCGCATATCATTTATGGATAAGAAAAACAATCTTTAAGTTTTAACCTGTGGAGTCATAGTGTTGAAGTCAGCCTTGATTTCAGTGATAAGTTGGCATAGAATGAAACATGCTAAGCAGTTGTGTTTTGGGTTGGGAGCCTGAAATCTTGAGTTGGTTCACGGATTGAAATGAAATGTCTCATGTTGTAAGTTTTAGTGGGACAAGTTGAATTTGAAGGATCATAACTGTTTGAACAAAAACTTGTATTATCTAATATTGCTTACAAAGGGCTCAAAATATTTTTAAATAGACTTTATTTCAACTCAGATTGTCTTTTTTCAAAAGGTATGTTTGTTTGAAGAACTAAGCACTGGCTGGTAGCTCCCAGCAAACAGGACAAATTATCTTGAATGTTAATCATAAGATGTTAAATTTGCTTCTTTGTTGTTTATCTTTCTTGTTGAAATGGTCGTACTGTACTGCTAATGAAAACTCAGAGTAATAACATAACTCTTAGGTATCTATCATATGTAGTTAGATGAAGTAAAATCTTTTGAATGCAAAATCTAATTACTGGAGAAGAGGAAAACTAAAATAAATACTTATGCTTTTAAAACTTTGTGTATATATTTTAATAAAAATTCATAAAGCATTCTGAAAATACAAAGTTTCATCAGATTAATTTGATAAAGTTGAAAACATTTAAAGTAACCAGTTGTAAAAAAAACACAGAGGTGCCCTAGCCGGTTTGGTTCAGTGGATAGAGCATTGGCCTGCGAATTGAAGGTTCCCAGGTTCGATTCTGGTCAAGGGCACATGCCTGGATTGCGGGCTTGATCCCCAGTAGGGGGCATGTAGGCGGCAGCTAATCAATGATTCTCTCTCATCATTGATGTTTCTATCTCCCCCTCTCCCTTCCTCTCTGAAATCAATAAAACACACACATACACAGGTGTTTAAGAATCATAAATATTGCATAACTCCTCTACTTTGGGGGATAAATGTGAAGAAATGTGAACCTTTATGATGATTGGGAGTTAGGGCAAGGGGAAATGTTGGATCTTTTACTTTATTTTGGGTGAAAATCATCTTCTATACAGATTACAAAAAAAAACACACAACAACAACTAGTGGGACAATAAAATATAGCTGCCTCTTTACTGTGTTTGAAAGTTTAATGATTGTTTTGTACAATTTTACCTTTTAAGACCATGCTGTCCTGGCTGCCTGCATGGAGGCCTTCCGGTCTATCGACATGGAGGCTCAAGAGGGGATCCACCCGTGTTTGGGAGCCGTGGACCTGATCCCCATTTACCCGCTCGCCGGCGTGGGAGTGGAAGAGTGTGGAGCTATGGCCAGAAGTAAGAGAAAGCTTGGGGCTGTGTGTTATTTCTTAACGGAAACCATTTTTACAAAGCAGAGCTGCTCCTGACAATGTCATCCCTCCTCAGCTCCCCGGGAAAGGTCTACCTTGAGGACGTGTCTGAACAGTAAGCTTTCCTGGGTTGCAGTGGCCCATCGTGTCTCTGTGGCATCCTTCCAGTGTCCACGCCGGGGCGCGGGAGCGCTAACTGCTGTGGGATGCAGCACATCAATCACTTGTCCCTTCCGAATTCATGGTGGACCACGAGGAAGCAACAGTAGTTTCTAATGAGCTCCTTAGACTCTTTGGGGCAGGACGATGCTGTGTTTTGCCCATCTGTGTCTTATTTTCTTGAGCAGGGGTAATGATGAGGTTGAAAACCACTTAAATGTTAACTCCTACCCCCTTTTACCCTGACTTTTTTCTCTCCCTGTGCACGACTCTCTTTAAGATTTTCTTTAGAACTGAACTGTCACATGCTTGATTTCAGCCCCAGGGGTGAGTTTAATTTGGAAAATTTGAGCTATGTCACTTGAGGTGTTTTGGAATTAGGCAAATTGGGAGAAAAGAAAGACCCTTTGCCTGGACTGTCTAGCTGCGCCACAGTTAATTACGGCACACAGAGGCTCATAACCTGTGGGGAAAAGGCCGCCTTCGGATAATTGCATTCTTCTCTGTATGACCTCAGAAGTCCCTCATTTTTATTTAATAGTGAATCGTCTCACATTTGGGATGTAGGTCTGGACCCTGGCTGAGCGGCATCAGGCACCAGGAATAGGAAATGAGACTTGTTTCTAAAGGAGCACTCACTGTTGTACTGCACTTTAATATGACCTGACAGTCGAAGGATTGCTTTGCAGGGAAATCTTGGCCCGAAATGTGCTTTACTTTTTATCCAAGAAAGAGTTAAAATTTAACATGGGGGGAAAATATGTTTCATACAAAAAAGAAGAGTTCATAGTTGTCCAGGGCAGAATAATGATTTTAATTGTCTTCAAAACAATTATGTTCAATTACATTAAATCTCAAATTAGCTAGTACACGAAGTTCTTCATTACATCAGGACGAGTCTGCCCAGATGTGCGTCCTGCAAAGGAGACAGTCAACAATCGGAGGGTCTGGACACGAGATCTCTCCCTTCCCCTGCCCTTTTGCTTCATTGGCAGCTACTGTACCTCATGATTTAAACATGGACATTTCTAATTAAATGAGAGCTCAGCTGCATTCTTGAACTAATTTATAACATTTGATTTGAAATGTAATAGCTTCAATCTTCATCTGATTAAAAACAGTCATATACTGTACATGGTTACTATTTTGATGCTCCAACATGCAGTTTTTATTTTTACATTCCCCTTTCTGCACAGCTGTTCATCTAATATCATCCAATTTTTTTTTTTAACAACATGCTCAGACATTCTTATAAGGCAAAAGTATTCAAATTCTAAGGACTGGCTGTTCTCCAAACGGTGAAGGGATGTTTTCCACTAGGGTAACCCCTTCTCAGGGAAACCAACTTGAAGTTAATAATTGAACTAACTTTCTTTGGGAAGAAGGGCAGTGGAGAACAGTCCAGTTTCATAATATAGTTGATATTGGTTATTGATATTGATAATTCATATATGCTTTTGTGTGCAAAAACTCATTGAATAATAAATTTCAGAACTTTTTGATATCAGCTGTAAGCTTGCCTATACCTTAAGGAAAGGGTTAAAGTGGGGCATGAAATTGGTGTTGAGGAGACTTATAAATACTGTCAAAATCACATGCAAATTTTTATGCCTGTGCTTTCTTGTATACATACAGAGATACATACTCTCACGCATAACTTCACAAATCATTTTGGTTTAAGAACTTTTAGAATAAAGGGCACAGCAGTGCAGAGGTTCAGAGGTGAGGGCAGCCTGGGATTTGGGGCCTGCGAGGGACTTGAGTGTGTGGCCAGCACTTAGAGGTGGATGAGATGGGAAAGGCATTCCTGGGAATGTTAAGATAAAGCTCAAGTGATGCTTGGAGGTCAGATCATGGAGTATTATGTGCCGGTGAAGGAGCTCAAACCTTATTGTAAAAGGATGGGAACCACTGAAGAGTTTTAAGCAAGAAAGTGGTCTGATTGGCTTTGAACTCTGGAAAGATCACTCTGTGCCTGCATGACAGAGACTAACAGGATGCAGGCGGATCCGTTTGGAAAGTTGGCGGGGGCCGAAGGTAATAGATAATGGAGAGACTCCATAGGATGTTGGGGGTGGGGAACAAAACAGTGGCATGGAAGTGTCATCACTTACAAATGATGGCAGGAAGGAGGTTTGGGAGAGAGAGCATGAGTGTGTTTTTCACGTGCTGCTATTGGCAGTTGAATATACCTCAGTTGACAGCTAGGAGACACATAGGCCTACTCTGTATTTATGTAAGGCTTACCGTGTTTTTTTTTAAAATGTCTTGGACTTTGATTTTTATTTTTTATTATTTTTTAATCTTTATTGTTGAGATTATTACAAATGTCCCTCTTTCCCCACCCCCATTGTCCCCTTCTACCCAGTTCCCCCCTTACCCCTAGCCTTCACCACTCTATTGTCTGTGTCCATAGGTAATGCATATATGCATGTAAGATCTTTGTTTAATCTCTTCCCGCCCCTACCCACCCCTCTTCCCTCTGAGAATCATCAGTCTGTTTCATTTCCATGCCTCTGATTCTATTTTATTCACCAGTTTATTCTATTCATTAGATTTCTTACTCATTTATTTTGATTTTTAGATTCAATTGTTGATAGGTATGTATTTGTTGCCATTTTGTTGTTCATATTTCTGATCTTCTTCCTCTTCTTAAAGGATACCCTTCAACATTTCATATAATCCTGGTTGGGGGCAATGAACTCCTTTAGCTTTTTCTTGTCTGCAAAACTCTTTATCTGACCTTCAATGCTAAATTATAGCTTTGCTAGGGAGAGTAATCTTGGTTGTAGGTCCTTGCTATTCATCACTTTGAATATTTCTTGCCACTCCCTTCTGGCCTGCAGAGTTTCTGTTGAAAAATCAGTGGACAGTCATATGGGCATTCCCTTGTGGATAACTAATTGCTTTTTTCTTGCTCCTTTTAAGATTTTCTCTTTGTCTTTAGCCCTTGGCATTTTAATGATGATGTGTCTTGGTGTGGTCTTCTTTGGGTTCTTCTTGTTTGGGACTCTCTGTGCTTCCTGGACTTGTAAGTCTATTTCTTTGACCAGTTAGAAGAAGTTTTCTATCATTATTTCTTCAAATAGGTTTTCAGTATCTTGCTCTCTCTCTCCTTCTGGCACCCCCATAATGTGAATGTTGATATATTTGAAGTTGTCCAAGAGGCTCCTTACACTGTCTTCATATTTTTGGATTCTCTTTTCTTTTTGCTCATCTGATTGGGTGTTTTTTGCTTTCTCATATTTCAACTTGTTGATTTCATTCTCAAAATCTCTACTCTACTGTTGAATCCCTGTATTTTATTCTTTATTTCAGTCAGTGTATGCTTAATTTCTGACTGGTCCTTTTCTATTTTTTTTGGAAGTTTCTAAAGATTATTGAGTAACCTTATAACCATGGTTTTGAACTCTATATCCAGTAGTTTGCTTTCTTCCATTTATTTCATTTGTGATATGTTTCTTTGTCTCCACATTTTGGCTGTTTCTCTGTGTTTGTTTCTATATATTGGGTAGAGCTTCTATTTCTCCTTGAGTTGGTAGAGTGGCCTTGTATAGTAGGTGTCCTATAGGGCCTAATGGCTCAGTCTCCCCAGTCACCTGAGCTGGGAGCTCTAGGTGCACCCCTTTATGGGCTGTGTGCACAGTCTTGTTGTAGTTCAGACTTTATTGCTGTTGATGTCACTGGGAGGAATTGACTTCCAGGCCAACTGGCTGTGAGGACCAGTTGTGACTGCCATGGGAGAGCTGCTGTGCAGGAGACACCCCTATGGAGCAGGACTTTCTTCAGTGGGGTTTTGGTGCTCACTGAGTCTGCCCCTTGAGTGTGTCGCTTCTGGATGTCTAGAGTTGTAATCTGGTATGATCTGACACTGACCACTGGGTACACTGGCTCTTGGGTCTCCATGGAGGTGCACAGTCAGCCACTGCCTGAGGCCACCCAGCAGGAGCTACAGAGAGATCTGTAGATTCCTCCTCTTTGTATTGGGTTTGGAAGTTCCCAGATGAGGTCCAGCTATGAAGCAAGGCAGGCTGGTGCTGGTGCCAGGTCTTGGGCCATTTATTAGGTTTGGGGCTCCCTGACCCAGCTGTAGCTTGTTTGATTTTAGTCTGAGCAAGGAACAGGCCATTCATATGCAAAAGCCTCTGCACACTGGTTGCGTGGGGCTGCAAATTGGATGGGGTGAGGTCTCAGAATCACCTGGGTAGAGCAAACAGAAATCGCTGCCAGTTAGCCTTGCAACCAGGGAGGTCCCTAGAAAAAATAATCTCTGTGAGCACCTCCATCTGGGGGAAAGCTGCCTCCAAGTTCCTGCCCTGATGCTAGACAATTCAGGTCTTCCTTATATGTCTGTGTTCCCCAGAGCTTCGCCCTGGTGCTGGAGCTCAGAGGAAGTGGGACCTTGTAAGGTCAGTTTGTGGTGCTGGCCTTTTAAGAGAAACAGCTGGGTTTCCAGCAGCCTCTGTGTCACTGAGCACCAATCCGCCCTGGTTTTTACAGCCTGTAGTTCTTACTGCCTGTAAGGACTTATTTTTCCAGCTCTGGGACCCTGGGCTAGGGGTTCGGTGTGGGGCTGGGACCTCTTACTCCTCTCCGCAGCCACTGCAGAGAGGATCTCCCTCCCAATTAAAAAAAACCGCCCACATGGGTGCCAGCCCAGCCCATCCCCCACCTCTGCACCTCCTACCAGTCTCAGTATGCTTCCTTGTTTACCTCTCTAGTTGTAGTACTTCCATTCAGCCAACTTTCCAGTGGTTCTAGAAGATGGTTGTTCTGTAGTTTGGTTGTAATTTTGATGTCTTTGTGGGAGGCAGTGCATATTGGTGTTTACCTACGCCGCCATCTTCCTTTCTCTCTGATTTTTATTTTCTATAAAAACCACATTTGATCAGTTAGGCTATATCTCATTTTTATCTCTGATATGTCTCTAGATTTTTCCTCTCCTTTTTCCGCTTC